GTTCTGAACTGATAATTTGTCTTGTCACAGCTAATGCTTGGGAAGAGGGTGATGAAGTTATTCTGGTTACCTGCCGCCTTGAGAACCCTGATTTGGACAAGGTGAATGGATATCAAAGTGACAAGCTTGACAACTTTGGGAATGAGCTGTACGCGCCTGCAACCTCCTCTTATTTTAATTTCATGTAATTCAATGGTTGTCCTTGGCTTAATGTTAATATTTTAGGTACGAGATGAGATTCAACATGAAAACTGGTGCTGCTTCACAAAAGCAACTGTCTGTTTCTGCTGTAGATTTCCCTCGTATTAATGAGAGCTATACTGGCAGGTACTTCTATTGGGATTTTTATTTTTAACTCCGATCAGCAATGATAGTTTTGTAGGATGGACACCATGCTTATTTATCAGTTGCACTTTTTTTTTTAAAAAACTTTGGTGTTCATCATATGAAGAGCTATTAACATAAAATCATCAAGAGAGATCATGAATACATGCTTGCTGAAGCTCATGATACTTTCTAACTTGCTGCTTTGTTGAAAACAGAAAGCAGCGGTATGTCTACTGCACTATACTGGACAGCATCGCGAAGGTGACTGGCATCATAAAATTTGATCTACATGCTGAACCAGAGAGTGGTAAGAAAGAACTTGAAGTGGGAGGGAATGTAAAAGGCATCTATGACTTGGGACCTGGTAGATTCGGTTCAGAAGCAATTTTTGTCCCCAAGCAGCCAGGTGTATCTGGAGAAGAAGATGATGGTTATTTGATATTCTTTGTGCATGACGAAAATACAGGGTACTCATTTCCTTGGCTCTGCATCTGTTTTTATGTGTTGACTGTCATGGGAAGCTTGGAATGCCTTGACAGAAATGCTTTTGATGTCAATGCATACTGACATATTGCAGCATTTGATCTCTCAAATTTATAATTACATTGGGACTGAATTTTGCATGTTGTGTGTGCAGGAAATCTGAAGTAAATGTGATCGATGCAAAGACCATGTCTGCTGATCCAGTTGCAGTGGTTGAGCTTCCAAACAGGGTTCCTTACGGATTCCACGCCTTCTTTGTGAATGAGGTGATAACAATGTTGGCGCTTATGTTGTGGCAGTTCATTGTTGTGTTTTGTTGTTGCAGCGCTGTGTTATGTTGCTACAGAACATTGGTTACACTAAAAACATTTTATTCGATACAGCATTTAGTAAGCTTTTCATATGGTTTTCGTGGCATCTGAATGAGAAGTTGATTTCGCTTGTTTTTGGCATGTTTTAGGAACAACTGGCGCAACAAGCAGAGGAGCAGTGAAGATAGCAGCTGCGGGGAAGTATGTCCGGTTGTAGCAACAGGGAAGAAGCAAGGAATAGTTCATACTCCACCATACATACATCTTTACATGTACAGTAGTAGTAGTGGTAATAATAAATTATGCAGTGTACGTACTATTGGCAAATGCAGATGAAAGAGATGATATGTGACATTACAGATAGCCCTTACAAATATTACTGGTTATAAATGGTCTACACGGCATACAGACAAGATCTTGCTCTCCATGCGTGTTCTTAGATGACATGACATGCCACTTATTCTTTAGTGTCATTGGCACAATCACTGTTATTAGCATCCATCGGATCTGAGTCTCGGCTGGGAAATTGTGTAGTAGCTACTAGCAGGCGTTGCGTACCATGCGGCCGGCGACGTAGTGCTCGTACCTGTCGGGCTTCTTATGGTCGGTGGCGCTCTGCCCGGTGTTCACCACGGCAAGCGCAGCGTGCGGCGTCTTCTCCCCGGCCACCGCCGCCAGCTCACCGACGCGCCGCTTCCCTTCCTTGACCAAGTCCGGCGGCCGCGAGTATAGCAGGGACAAGGCCCCGACGGCGAGAGCGCCGGAGATGGCGGCACACGCCGTGAGAAACGATACCAGCAGTCCCGCCGGAACGAGCACTGGGCTGAAGACCAGAAACAGCGGCATGGCCGCGGCGAGCCCAACGAGGGAGGTGACCAGGGACAGGCCCGAGAGGACCAAGAGGACACCAGCGAGCGCCAGGAACGTTGCCGCGACCAGCCATCGGGGACGTTGCTGGCCGCCGTTGGCCATGGTTCATTCACATCAAGGATTCAAAGGCAAGCGAGCAAATACAGGGAGCAGAATTTGACGTGTATTTATCAAGTGTAAGGCGAGACGCACGCCCTGACACGTAGGTGCGCGACAAGGCATGCATGCGGCAGCTCTTGGATCCATCTCCGGCGTTCAGGCCACGTCATCAGCTCTTCAGCTCCGGACAAAGTATTGCACAGCTGCTCATATTTTTTTTATTGGTCGATTTGGAGGAGGGGATGGAACGGGGGAGAGAAAGGAAAAGGCGCCCGGCTCCTATGTTCGTGCGTGCGAGGTGAGGGAAGGGAAGGAAGAGAGTAAAAGAAGAAGGCCCGCGGGCCGCTTCGCCTGCTCCTCAGACATGCCGCCCGCCGCTGTCCCGCCCGCCTGTTCGTCTCGCTGCTTTGCAGCGGCTACAGTGTTCACAGTTATTTCTTCTGCAGCAGCTACAGTGTTTCAGTAACAGCTACAGTGTTCGCAGTTATTTTTCTACGCAGCTGCAGCGAAACGAACATGCTTCGCGGCCGTGGACTTGGGGGGCTCCGTCTGGTTCTCTTCTGGGATGGGGGAGAAAGGAAGGTTCTGGTGTTCCCTAAACTGGTGGTGTGGCGGAGGGCTGGTTATCAGTGCGCCAACTGTTTGGTAATTAGGCTAGATAACTAGGTTATCCCGTCCAATCGTAAATACTACAGCCCGTTAGTGTAGTGGTGGTTCTATTTTGCGTTAGCATTCAAGGCTATACGTCTGGCTCCTCAATTGAACTTAGACCACTGTGCAGTTAGATAATGTGCTGTGCTGCGAAATGCCGGCATAAATCATACACCTAGATGCCATATTAGATGTTCTGATAAGTTAGGTCCATATTAGATGTGCTTTGCTCCTGCTCATTGGCAAACGGCAGGCTGGTACATCCCCTACTCCTCCTTTTTGTTGTGCTCAGCAGCAGTATTCTTTGAATTCTTCTGCTCATCTGTGGTTGAACTGGAACTGTTGATTGTTTAACTTGTCAGCCTATTGACTATAAGCCACGAATACATCTAGCAATTTGGCAAATCAGGAACTACTTGATCTGGTCATGGGCATTATTTTGTTCTGAACATCCTGCTGCTGGTCGTGGGTATGCTTTGCATTTTGAGTCAACTGTGATCATATATTGCTTTAATTAATCTCTATCCATCAGTAATGTTTTTTTTTCCTTTCTTCAGTAGAGGAGTTTCAGTCACGGTACATATTAGGCGAACAATTAGTTTATTTTTGTTTGCTACGCTTTGGACAATGGAGTGAAATGACTTCTCGTTGCACCGAGTTTGATTTGTTTGTGATGGTTTACCAATACTTGTTCTAGTACTTGCACTGTGCAATGATATGTACGCATGGTAGTTCATCTTCTTGCCATTTAGTTTGAGATAACATTGTAGATATGCATGAACCCTTTGATTATACAGGTTTTATACTCGTTGCCCATCTCTCATGCTTTATCTCATCTTCTATAATGTATGCATTGTTGTGATGACGGAAGCAGCCCCATCATGGGCGGCCATGCGGACGCCTCACCCGTGGCCAGGAACGGCGATCATGGCCTCAGAAGCCCTAAGCGACCTATGCGGCTGCCTCTACTATATTATGACGAGAAAAGGAAGATTATGATGGACCCCGAAGCCATGGCGGTGCTGCAGCTCATCAAGGACCCCGTTGGAGTCAGTACCCTGACAGGCCCCATCCTTGCTAGATGCTATCAACAGTGGTAATGTCCCTACACTATCGCCGTCACGGCAGGTATGCCAAGCCTTGTTAGCACTGTTATTTATGTTGGATTTCTCTCTAATTGTGTTACCATCCTTTTGTGTGCGTATTATAAAAATAATTGCAATATTTATCATTAACTCATAGCTTACAATAAAATATACTTTGATAAATGTGTGTTACAAATTATTCATATAAAAAGAGGTAAACAATATGTTTTATAATTAATATGATGTGATATACAGTAGTCTCGCTCCTTTATAGTTCTCTTATGGTCACCTACAGTACAAATACTATCGGTGACTTGCCAAGTGGAAAGCATACAATCATATTCTACGCAAGCATATTTTTATACCTTAATATAATCATCCAGTTTTATTCACTTTCTTAAAAAATAGGCATTGCTCACGCTACATACTAACTCTACAATCTCCATACTTCACATGAGGGGTGTCTATATGACCATTTATTTAGAAGTGAGCTAGAAATTTATTGGATTTCTTGAAAGCGCATTGGGCCCTCATCTGGATTTTGGGTGATTAATGACAAATGGTTAAGGGAACCGAGTTTAATAAGTTTAGGAACAGGTGAAAGGTCCAATTGAAAGATTGTGCATAGAAAAGTGATCTCAAAATGAAGTAAAGAAGCAACTTATGTTAAATTTCTAGAAAGGATCAATAGTTGATAGGTTTTAATTAGAAATTGACCATGACACTCGAGAACGCATGGCGTGCAAACAAGAACAAGCTCGGCATAATATGCTGCAGAGTAGTGGTGCCAGCAGACAAGATGATATCTTTTTCATATAGCCCTTGGCAACTAAGAGTATTTGAAGAGAAAAAGAAGCCACCACGTTCGCTCTCAAGGGCATGAAATTACCACGTTAATCGGAAAAAAAGAAAAGCTATGAGCCGTTGGATTTTGTGAACATCTAACGGCCTAGATTAGATGAAGAGTCCATCTCAAATAAAACTGTAACTAAATTTAGAACGAAAAAATAAATCTCTACTACTTAATAAGTCTAAGAAAGGTCGTCAGCCGGAATTTTCAGACCTCTGCCGTTTGAGTTTGGGTCGAATTCGAATTTGAATTGAGTTTGATCTGGATTCAAATGTCCGCTCTCTTAGCTCTTTTTAACAATACGAATCCTTTACAGAAACAGGTGCTGCGACGCCTCAGTGGTAAGACAGCGACCTTGTAGTGAGGAGGAGACGCGAGTTCGATTCTTGCGTGTAGCATGCATGTCAATTATTTTGTTTTTTATTTTGCGGCTGGTGTGGGTTGGGCTGGGCTGAGTTGGGTCGAGCCCAATTAGGAGGTACTAGACTAAATGTTGGCCTGCTTGTTTTGTGATGGCAGCCCATTATGAGGTAATATTCCAATTTTTTTACCTACCTTTCTATTTATTTGATAAAAAAATGTTATACGGTCTTATATTATTACACTTGATTATCATACATAATATTGTGAATTAATAAATTCGGAAATTACTGGCTGCACGCGGGGGGGGGGGGGGGGGGGGGGGGGGGGGCGGCACCTACCCACGGCACATGCCACAGCTACCCACCTACCCAGGATCGTTGGATCCTTTTTTTCCACGATTCGTGCACGTAACCACCTCCGTGGTTCAGGCTACTAAGACCAGCCGCAGTGTGTGCCTCGAACCGGTGCCTGAAGGAATCTTTACATCAAGCACCGAAGTCTGCTCATTGCAACCACCGGTGCCTGAACCAAAAACTTGGCTTCAGCAGCTTGTACATGCACCCGGTTCCAACATCTCCAATTGAATAAACAAATGTTTCTTTTGCAGATGAGTGAGAGAGAATAGTGAGTAATGTGTGGTTGTTTTTTACTTTAACAGGACCCACTCTCTGAACCAGGCGCCGATGCTTGACATGACATGATTGTGACATGACAGATCAAGCTCCAACTGCGGGTGCTCTAAACATTGCGAATCCCTCTGACGTCCCTGGTAGGTTCGTACACGGTGACATGACTCGAGGCTTCACGGGGACGCCGAGAGCAGCTTCGTCGATCATGTCAGGGTTCTCGTGCACGGCGAGTTCGTGGCTCTCGGCCGCGGAGCTCCAGCTCTGGACGACGGATGGAGCTACCCGGGCTCGTCGAGTACCGTGGACAGGAGGTGGTGCGGCTCGCCGCGGCGTGAAGCCACATGTAAGCTGTGCTAGCTGGACGTCCATCATCCGCGCCAACAACTCCTTCAACCACGCCGGCGACGACGTCTACCTCGTGTTCGCCGCGTTCTTCGATCGGCAACTGCGTCGATCAGGTTGTGCGTCGCGAGGGCCACGGTGGGCGAGCTCCGCGGCCGCGGGGACGACGACGGCGCGAGCCGCGGCGGCGGTGCGGGAGGCAATATATCCACGTGTACCTGCCTGGAGGACCCTCTTCGCCAGGGACGCCGATCGAGCGGTGGCTGCAGCTCCTCCCACCGGTTCATGGCGTACGAGACGGACTTCGGATGGGGCGTCCGTCGCGCTTGACCGGGAGCGCCTGGACGATTTCGAAGCCTGCAGCTTCTTGTCGCAGCTGCAGGGCTCGACATGACACTGATCGTCTGAGTCATGTTTGTATATATGGTTTGTTGGCCCAAGTGCATCGATCGTGATCGTTGTGTTCTCTGTCTTTAAAGGAATTGATCAGTGTCATGGCCAAATGTACTGATCAACTAAACATGTGCTCATTTATCAAATCAATAATGAGATAATTACAAGCTTGCCACTGATAAAATTCCTCATTTCCGGAGAAGAAAGCCATTGGCATCCTAGCTTTGACCTACCGGGTTTGCTCACTGCATGCAGTCCTACGTCTCTTACAACAATTATGCAGAAAAGGAGTCTACACAGACTCACAGTAACTGGGTTCGCATGCTCCATCTGAAGTCCCCTAACCAGCAAGGACACTCCTTTGTCCCCTAAACAAGGAGAGTCCTCACCGTCATTGACCCCGGCCGACAAACAAGCTCAATGCGTGTGACAATTTTTTCATAATTTGTTTAAAAAATAATAAAGATCTTTCAAGGCAATATCATGACTCATTCTCCACCGGAGATGTGTCTAACTTTGAAGTTTAGGGTTTCTTTTGGGACCTCGCCGATAGTTCAAGGATACAAATTGAACTTTATCCTATAGTTCAAGGATACCCTAAACAGTAATATAATCTTATTATAGCGCATGGAAAAAGCTATAGAGCCGACCCAGCTGTTCGACTCACGTACGACTGGGTCTTAATCACCGTTGCCTTCCTGTGATTTTAACTCTGCCTCTGATCTCGTGCGTAGGATACTAAAGTTGGATGCTAGTCGGGCAAATCTGGTCGGATGTGTAGCAGTGCTCATAGCGCATATAGCCTCAATTCAAGCAAATTTAAATGGAAATTAAAGCACTGAGACATCGATCATAGGACTTTGAACATGGCATCTCTCTTTATACTGTAGCACAGATAGCCTCAATTCAATCAAATTTAAGCACTAAAAACCATCATTCTTTTCTAGCTATTTATGATAGGTTGCTTTCTTCGCTTCATTTCTAAGGATCACCATTCAATTGGAACATCTTCACTTAGTGATTTTCCACTAAAGAATTAGACGAGTACACAAGTTTTTGTAGTACATATACACAATATTCCAATTGGACGTTTCACTTAGTCATAAACTTATTAAATGTACTTTCCCTTAATGTTTTTGTCATTAAACACCATAAACCCACATGAGGCCATAGATGCGCTTTCACAAAATCCAATAATTTTCTAGCTTGGCTCTGGAAAAAAAAAAGGCCAGCTGGACATTGCTCATGTGCAGTATGGAGATTGTAGAGCTAAATTTGAGCACGAGAAGTGCTTAATTATGAAGAAGGTAAATAACATTGGATGAATAATATTATAAATTGGGTAATGATGCTTGCATAGAATACGATTGTATGCTTTCCACTTGGCAAATCACCTAAACTGGTATTTGTAATGTAGGTAACCATAAAAGAGTGAGACAACTATCATGTCGTATCAAGTATACAATATGTCACCCAAGATGCCTCATATTTTTTAGTAGCTTGGATTAACTGCTAGTGATACGATTGCTTGACAGTTCAATGTTCATTATATGCTCATCATTGTTTCCCAACAAATCTATGGTTTATATTCTAAAAAAACAAATCTATGGTTTGTAGTGCTACTTGGTGTGGTATAAAATATAGGTCTCCCCTTCGTGTGGCTGGCTATATTGACATATGTTAGAAATTATATAGTACCAATTAATAAAACAATATTTTATTGTAAGTTATGAGTTAATGATAAATGTTGTACAAAAGAAATAGTATATTAGTCATATTTTATTTCCATGCATTTATCCCAAGAGATGCATTGATAAGTACATTTATCACATATTCGTTGTCTTTGCTTTGATCAAAGATGAGCTTTAGTGCCCTCGGAATGAGACCGGCATTGACATGGTCATTGCCCTCCAATTCTCCAATCAACGAATAAGTCTTCCCAGTCCGCCGTACGCAAAGATGCATACCTAAATAATTCATAATAATAAAAAATTTTGATGCTGGAATTAATACTAAATAATAATGATGATTGCGCGGTTTGTAGTGGGAAGCTGTAACTTTTTCCTAACTCTGCATAATTACAGAGAGTCCATCTATGTTCAGTCTCAAAATGAATCTTTAGGTATGTGAACTTTTACTAAATTGAACCATCTAAGTCTAAATTACCAAAAATACCCCTATTGATTTGTTATACGCTTTCTCTTCCCAAATCAGCATTGCCATCGCAACTCATGCATGCTAGAGGATGATACTTGACCAGATTGGTAGGGCAAGGCGTAATTTTGTAACTTTGAACCTAGATTACACAGTTTAGGAAGTTCAAGAATCGGAATATGCATTTTGAAAGTTTAGGGATCTAGATAACACTCCAAGACTAAACCATTGATTTTAGAAGATAAATAATAGAAAAATGAAGCCCAATTAACAATTTTCATCAGAAGTAGATAGCACAATTGAACAAGTTAAAGGACCCCAATAAGCATTTTGCAAGTTCATAGACTTGGAGAAATGCACCGAGACAAGTGACGCACTTCACTTTATTAGAAAACAAAATAAAAGCCTTAGAAGAAGACCGGATAATATAACTTCAAAATAATTGCCAGCTTCGATATCATCGCAACAATTGTTAATTTCAGGCCGTCTTAAAAACTCGTTAGCAGCAACCTTTGATCACTGATTACTTGCTAGTTAGCAATCCGGTCGCCTTGCGACCGATCGAGTCCTCTCTGCAGCATGAGCTCCCGGGTGCGAGTTCTCAACGTCGTCACCAATGTCCTCCCAAACCAAGATCACAAAGGCGCCGTTTACTCTCCGCCGCTGCTCCTGGACGATGGCCTCATCAAGCTCTCGTTCATGGACGGCCTGTTCATTGACAGGGCACCGATGTAACGTCTCTTCTTCTACGAGGGCCCCGACGTCCCGCCCTTCACGTCCCTCGTCCGCTCCCTGCAGGTCTCCCTCGCCGCCGTGCTTGCCGTCTTCATCCCCCTAGCCGGTAAGCTCACCTACCGCCCGTCCACCGGCGACGTCGTCGTGGACTGCTCACGGGACGCGGTCGCCTCGGGCATCAAGTTGGTGGAATGGAAGCAGCAGAGTACTCCGGCAGCATCGATGACATGCGCCGTCTCGCCGTCGGCGACGAGCAAGACACGGAGGCGCTGATGCAGCTCGGCCCGGTGCTGGACGCGGGGCGTCTGCCGGTCCCCGTGCAGGTCACGAGGCCGGCCGTTGTCGGCGACGGGCACTCCGCCGTTGTCGGGGTGGCCGACGGCCTTTCCGGCCGTGTGGCGATTCATTCGGGCGTGGTCTGCAGTGTCGCTGGCGGCCGGGATGGCAAGCTGCGTCCGGTCTCGAGTCGCCGACGTTTAACCGGACGGCGATCAGGTGCCCCGGCCCGGAGCAGAGGAGGCTGCCCGCAAGATCGATTGCGCCAACGCTGCCTGTGGTACGTGGTAACTTCTACTACTCGATCTCACAGTCAATCACTCCGAGTCTGCTACTCCGAGTACGTACTATATATAGTATATGATTCAGTGCTCCGTTTCCTGAGAAAATTGTACATGAACAACTGAACAGGCCAGATCGCCATCGTTGTGCACCCCACCTGACCAGTGCCGGAGAAGCTTCCTTCTCCGCGCCGACGAGATCCATTCCGTGAAGGAAGCGGCAGA